GATGGCAGCAATCAATGTCAGCCGAACAAGAGCAGAGAAAGTTAAGGCACAAGCTGCATACACAGAAGCAAACAGGGAAGTGAAGAAGAGTATCAGAGCTGACAAACGAAAATATGTAGAGGATCTAGCAACGACGGCGGAAAAGGCTGCAAGAGAAGGAAACTTGAGACAATTGTACGAAACAACAAAGAAGCTCGCCGGAAACTATCGTAAACCAGAACGACCAGTGAAAAGTAAGGACGGGAAAGTAATCAGCAACACTGAAGAACAGCGAAATAGGTGGGTAGAGCACTTTCAGGAACTCCTGAATCGACCAGCTCCACTGAACCTACCCAACATCGAAGCAGCATCTACGGACCTCGCAATTAATATTGGCGCACCTACAATAGAAGAGATCAGCATGGCCATCAGACAAATCAAGAGCGACAAAGCAGCAGGACCAGACGACATTCCAGCAGAGACAACGAATTCAGACGTGGAAGCGACTGCAAAAATACTTCACATTCTGTTCAACAGGATCTGGGATGAGGAAAAATTACCAACAGACCAGAAAGAAGGATACCTGATCAAAATATCAAAGAAAGGAGATCCCAGCAAGTGTGAGAACTACAGAAGCATCGCTCTTCTCTCAATACCAAGCAAAGTCTTCAACAGAGTATTGTTAAACAGAATGAAGGACTTCGTAGACTCCCAACTTCGAGATCAACAGGCCGGATTTCTTAAGGATAGATCGTGTACTGACCGAATTGCAACATTACGGATCATTGTGGAACAATCAATAGAATGGAACTCACTGTTACGGGAGAAACGAAGACATTTTGCTGATCAAACCTTTATATATATAATCATTAATTTCACTGTTTTTTGGGTATATTTGTTTTACTTAACTTATGAACTTGTTTGAATTATTATTTGCGGACATATTGGACTCCCGTTTCTCTTTGTTGTTCGTTGCAGTTTTTTGCTCCAAGAGATAATAAATTAGAAGAACGACATTGGTCGTCTATTTGTAATAAATTATTTTGGTCGAATTTGTGATTTGGAATAAACTTTGGTATCTACTTTGGAGTTTCGTTCTTGGTATAGAAATTTGGGACCGTGAATTACAAATAGACGACAACAGTGCTTCATAAGATCAACGAGCAAAAAACTGGACGTAACACTCACCACTCTACATCAACTTCATCGACTACGAGAAAGCATTCGATAGCGTGGATAGGAAAACACAATGGACGCTTCTTCGACACTACAGCGTGCCTGCGAAATCGTGCACGGAGGTCAGCTGACAAACTCGTTTGAGGTAAAGACTGGTGTCAGGCAAGGTTGCTTACTTTCAACGTTTCTCCTTCTCCTGGTGATCTACTGGATTATAGAGACGACGACATCTGGAGAGAAGCACGGTATCAAATGGACAGCCAGGACGCAACTGGACGATCCGGACTTCGCAGATGACCTGGCTCTTCTATCTCACACGCAATAAAAAATGCAAGAGAAGACAATCAGTGTAGCAAAAGCCTCTCCAGCAGTAGGTCTAAACATACAAAGAGGGAAAAGTAAGAATCTGCGATACAACAAAACATGCGTCAACCAAATCACACTTGATGTAGATGCTTTGGGGGACGTTGACACCTTTACATATCTGGGCAGTACCATCGACAATCAAGGTGAATCAGATGTAGATGTGAGGGCTCCAAACAAATAACAATCAACAACAAAATCAGGATTTTCAATACAAATGTCAAGACAGTTCTACTGTATGGAGCGGAAACTTGGAGAAGTACGAAAGTCAACATCCAGAAGATACAAGTATTTGTGTACAGTTGTCTTGGGAAAATACTTCGGATTCATTAGCCAAACGCTATCAACAACAACTTAATTTGGGAGAGAACAAACCAGGTTCCAGTGAAGGAGGAAATCAGGAAGAAGCGGTGGAAGTGGATAGGACACTCACTGCGAAAAGCACCTAACTGCGTCACAAGACAAGGCCTCACATGGAACCCTCAAGGCAAAAGGAAAAGAGGAAGGCCAAGGAACACATTGTAGATTTTATTTCTACAGTGGCCGTCCCAATTGTTTCCAATAGAAACACTCCTGTACGCTTTTCCTAGTTCCGGGTCCCAACCGATTCAAAAAAGGACAAAATTCTAGGAGAAAACGTCTCTGTATTATTAGAAAATGGAAATACAAAGCCTTACGGAATTTGTGTTTCTTCCAGGGTTAAGTTACTCCGCAGAGTATCCAACACAATAACCAATAAGTGAAGCTAAGTCCAGCAGCCACTGCGTCCGTCCGAAAATGTGGCGGTAGCCATATTATATCAAATTTAAACAATATATGTACAATTCAGAAGCAAACCCAAAAACTTCAATATAAGTACAAATATAGAAAGAATAACAATATACAATGATAAAATCTCAAATTGGAATCAAATAAAATACCAAAAATGTCAAGAGAAAAAGTCCATCATGTCATAGCAAAAATATGTAAACATGGAGGGAATTTCCAAAAAACAAAACATTCAAAAAGAATTCTACACACATTACGCCGAGAAATAAAGAAAGATATGAGAGGAATGAAGAAAAATTGGACAGAACTGGAAAGGGAAGCCCAGGACAGAGTTGGTTGGAGAAAATTGGTGGGCATTCTATGCTCCATTGAGGGTAACAGGCGTAAGTAGGTAAGCAAATAATTTATCAATATGTGGATATGAGCATCCTGAACCAGGAGCTGATCATCTATCGTAAAATAATTCAAGTTTAATTGTTTCCCATCTTTAGTTCATCTAGTGGCGCTGAATACATATTCATCCAGCCCGAAAAGTTTAATCGCTGTACTTATTAGTTATTGGACCCAGCCAATGAGAGTTGCACAGCCTTTGCTGAGGTCTGGAGGTGAAGTGTTGAAATCCTTAGCTAAAAGTGTTTTATCAAATCCAAGAAGTGTTACCTTAATCAACTTTTCTTTCTGGGCTTTATTCCTTAAGACGGGCTGGTAAATCCCTCCAGTTAAGTCATTTGTGCAATACGTGTTAGCGTAGCAGAAGCGTGATTCTGCGGCATTAATTAGTTAAGTGCTGCATGGTTTTAGGTCTTTTGAATGGCTGGTAATATACACCGCTATTCCGCCTAACGCTTTGTGTACCCTGTCTCATCAGAAGTTCCCAAATTTTTCCTGCTCAATACTCAGTCTTCTCATTTGGCCATGGAGGCACATCATGGTTTGTTACACCACCTGGCGTGCTCCTGCAGCGACAGTCGTTTTGGGATTTTTAGACAAGCTGCTCAAATCCAATTTACCTGTTCTTTGCTTGTGAAGTGTATTTAGTCAGTGAGACCTTGATCTTTGGGTCTTAAAACGTGAGTTGTCTATCGAAGTCAATCGATATTAGTGTGTGCTTGTTTCAGCCTTCCTGTTGTTGCTTCAGTGATGTAGGCTGGCTCTACCATTTTCTGATGTGACTACAGAGACCATTCTTTGTAATGTGCCAAGCCTGAAGCGCCTCAAATAGGACTTCCTGGTGCCTAGAGTTCACGGACGTCAGACGCGGATACATAATGATAGTGGGATATGATGGATGAGACAGCCGGGCGACTTCAGCTGCCGTGTTTATTTGAAGACCTATGCTACGTGATAGCCACTGTCATTGTCTCATATCATGTCCGTGAGCCACATGCAAGCTACCCGCCATCCAAATCAAACTCTCCATGAACCACCATACTAAACCGTTTTCCAGTGTCTCCTGGTGTTCTGGCAGTTGTCCGTTCCGACCATGGTTTGTCTAACCTGAAACGGGTTAGGGAGAACTATTTTACTGAAAGACTCTGAGATGTTGAAAGTGTTTCTTCGGCATGTTTTGCCAAGCTAAAGGTATCATTAACTGAAGCTTTTTATTTTAGCTAAATTCTGACCAACTGCTCCTCATCAAAGATGGCTCTAATTTCCAGAATGTTACATTCCGATACTGAAACACTGAATGGGAGCAGTCAATTTTGTCTAACGTCACCGCCCCTGGTTAGTAACGTTTTTGGAGCTAAAGTATCGCCACTTAAGCTCACTCACTGCTGAGTTATGTGAGCAGATGCCGGGGGATTTACGATATCCGGTATTTTCGCTTGTGTATTAACTCGGGTTGTGGCTGTCTCTGTTAACTATTTAATCTAACTCTGTTTGGGTGAAATAGATTTGCTAGTCCGAAATATTTAAAATTTTATGTGAAAAATATTAGCCATTTATGGAATGCCAGTGTGCCTTGTAAAATATTTATCGAATTAATCAAACTTATACGGTAAATATGATGGCAGTTTTAACAATTTTATCTTGTCAGTAAACTAACATGCCTTTTGTAACACGTTATTTGGGAATAAATTATTATTATTATTATCAGTGGGTATCTGTAGGCTCATTTAAGATGGGGTCTTCTGTTTCGCTGTTGTTAATCCTTTTGCCTCAGTGATTCTGCACTGTGTTAAAACATGCCAGAACGACGGATTGTGTTCATTTGGTATGAACCTGTAGTACTTTAAGAGTACTATAGTATCACAACGAAAGTGAACCAAGACATAGGACAATGTATATTCAAATGTGTAGTCTCCGGTTTTAATTGACAGCACATATGCAGTAATCTGAAACAGTTGATAGGAGAAACAGGGGTTTAGCCGATCTTTGCTGAATGAATTGAATACGGTTTCAGTAATGAATTCAAAGGTGAAGAAACTTTGATCGGATGGGCTATAAAAATCAAGAAGTGCAAAATAGCATTGAGAAAAGTACTAGTACTAGTAACAGAAGCTCTAAACCACGGAAAAACTAGGGCTTAAAAATAAGTGGCCTTTTCGAAAGGCTGTTGTAATTATGTTCAAATTATCATGAACAACTGACTTAAAAATAACATCATAATATGATGTTGTTCGTATAGTTGTCTGAGTAAGGAAATGAGTAGTAGTGTTTTTTCTTGTGTACATTATTTTCACTGCATCTTGTTTTAGTTCACCAGGTCATTTGGAAAGACAAGGTTGTCTGTTTCATGTGTTCTACACTTGTTGATTTGACGAAATGGATCGAATACTATCTCTCACCGATGATGAGTTAAGAGCCGAATTGTCTGACAGGGGATACTGTCCACCACCTATTCAAGGTTTGTCGCGCTATTACTACGTCGTGATTTTACAAAGATGATGTCACTAGGAGAATAATGCGCAAAAAGCTAGCACTATTTATTGATCGTATGTCCTATTTCTTACTATTCTTGACGCTGTACGTTTTCCAGCTTCTATGGTGATTGAAGAGCCGTAAGTACATAACAGAAACTCTAACGCCGTATAAGGGTTCGGAATTCGGATTCTTCAGAGAACAGCGATGTGCTTGATTCAGCTGGAGATACAAGTGTTCGTTCCAGAAATCGTGTCAGGTTTTCCGAAGCTCAAGAAACAGTGTATGAGGTTACTGGTGAGCACAAGCGTGGTGTCTTCTGGTACGCGATGTCCATGTTGGTTTTGTTTGTTATCGGATTTATCGTACTGAAAAATATGGATATCGTATAGTTATTTGTAAAGATTTTGATATCTTTCTCTGCCCAGTGATCAATAATATTTAAGATTCTTATAATTGTTCTACATATGTGGCATTAATTGGATGGAACATTAACATCAGGGGTGGAAATCGACTAGAATGGGAAAATAATTATGAACATGCTTTTAGTAGTTAGTGGAATTGAACAAATCAGCGAGTCAACTAACTGCTAAAAAATAGTAATAGCACTGTGCTTTTACGCCTTATGTTCGAAATAACTGTCTTGCCTCGCGGTTTCTAACCATTCATATTACATTCAAATGTGTTTATGCGATTTTTCCACCGCGTAATTTTGCTTCAGTTCCATATCTAAGCACGGTTCGTAGACGGTGACATGCCAGAATTTTACACTGGAGTGTTAGAAAGTACTTGTCTAATAAGTATAAGCGTGCTTTTGCAAGATGTGTGGCACAAGTTGGTTATGCACAAAGACTTTAAATATCGTAATAAAACACTCAGGGTCAATGAATTTCTCAGCTTGAAAACCTCATGCCCCCCACGAACTCCCGAAATGGTTTTAAGAGGGTCTAAAGCCAAAAAGGCAATCTAAATCCTTACAGTATTGACTGCTGAATAGAATCCACCAAATGGGAACTGACTGACTCGTATTTGCAAATACTTGGAAGTATTCGGTCGTAAGCGTCGACAACGTCATCGAATGGTTGATTTTGATGATCCCACATCGTAGTCGTGACCAGTGGCTGTTAACACTTAGTGGGTTAGAATCGGCCTCAGTCATGCAGATATGTTCTATCTTTACCTTACGTCATAACACGGTGTCCTACGTTGCCACAAACTTCCTATTTACCAGCTTCCGGGACACGTTTCACTACTGCTACGAAGCACCTGTGTCACGGGTCGTTTTATTTACTCACTGTGACGCAGTGATGTGACAATCCAGGCTGATACCAAAGTGGCACCACTGTGTTTGTGGCCGATTAACGTTACTCAAAAATGAAGGCAAGTTGACGAGTTTGTGAATTAGCCTTCACCACACAGTTCGTATGTTCATCAGCCGCTATGGATGCTGTTCTTGCTAACGTAAGAGTATATGCGAGAAGGCAGATCTCTAAACCAAGACGTGATACTAGCTTATGAGGTGAAGGACTATCGATCGAGATCGCACTAAAGAGTGTGATTTTGTTGGACTAAGATGGCGTATTCTGCTAGAGACTGAGTGATATGGTTGTCTATTCAAATAGAGTGCTTTCAGATGTTTTCCGTCCACCATCTTATCTACGGCCAGACATCCTTTCAGGTTGTTCACCTGACGATTTAATTGAGTGAAATATTTAGCAGTCTATTCTCCCACAGCTGTTTTCATTCATATCCATCCGTTCATTTTCATTTTGCCGCACTTCAGAATGGCAAAATGAATTGATAGATGTCTCATGTCTTGTTGGAATAACTGTGCTTATCAAGTGAATCTCAAGATACCAGGATTTGAAAATCTGTCTGTCGTTTCAGCCTTACTTGAGACTGAGCTTCACATCTTATTGATTCCATAAGTCCTGCCAGGGTGTTTTCAACAATATCATATTTATATAGATCGAACACATTGTCATCAGCAATGAAAAGACACCCGCCGAAGGTTTTGAATCGAGTACGTCTATGCGGTCAAAATTACCATTCTGGTTCATAGTTATTACCAGTTAATTAGCAATCGACTTAATTTCGTCTGGTCTGTTGGATGATTGGCACATGTCGACCGACATCTTTAGCCAGTCACTTAATGAAACAGAAGATTCGCTTGTCTAAAGAGTTATCATAAAAAGACTACTGTCCATGTAATTCATGATAGTTGAATACCTTTAAATAACATATATGCTCAGAAGATATATAAAGTCCATAGTTAGTCTTCAACCTGCTTATTTTTCCTAACCTTTTAGCAATGATGGTTAATACCCTCCACTTATGTAGTTCGTGCATAAAACTGACTTCTCTTTCTCCAGTCATCGCTCTTAAAACTTAAAGATGGAGTGTAACATCCCAAAGATTAGATAAACGCTGTTTGTGACTGAAACAAAGACACGTGGTAGAGTCGTGAACTGTCTAGAACTTAAAGTAACAAATCAGGTGCAGTTGTGGAGTAGGACTTGGGGATGTGCCGAGAAATCTGATCTGGTTGATGAGATATATTTGTGTAATATAAGTAGATTCCCTCTGTCGGTCAGTTGGTCGAAGCAAGCAACCTACATGAGTCTATCTGTATTGAAGTTCGGTGTTATCTGATACTGAAGGTGACGTAATTATTCGTTCGGCCACTAAGAGAAATTCAACATGTAGTACCTTCACGTATATTCCAGTTCGCTTACATTTAACTTGGTTAAGCCCTTTCGATTAATTTATTTAACCAAACCATTTGTATTGCAACAATTTATATGTATCATTCGTTCTTATTATTGTCTGGTTTGTATGAGCTCACATAATGTGTTCCACTTGTCATTTGACCTTGTCAGTCATTCGTCGTGTTTATTCATGTGTGTGCATGTCTATTTCGCTTGTCACATGTCTGTCTTATATTCTTGGTCACGCTCTATCTCTTTGGGTTCGCTCGTTAGCCATTCTCCACATCGCATCCTCCGCCCATTCGTTCGCATTGTAATTAGCCTTCTCCAACGCGCTTCTCCAATTCACATCGCTTCAGTCGCTCATACGCTCGCTAGTGTACATATCAAACTTATCGCTTATGATGACATAAAGTATGTTGATGAGAAGGGAACAACTTTGCTGGAAGCTAGGTTTCCGTCAGGGTTTTTGTTAAATAACGATAAAACTAATGATTGAATTTTAGTTTCGTTTTTGTTCCTTTCTAATGTCGTTCAAAATTAGTCGGTTCTTTCACGTAGTAGTAACATGAATTTCAATAAGATAGAGGATTTGCACAACTACAGGTATCATCATTCATGGGAACTGTGAACGTCTCTAACAGGTCACTAAAAAAAACACACTTAGTATACGTAGAAACAAAGTAACTGATCAATAAAACTTCAGTATAGAGATAAAAGTTGATTACATTCAGCAATCATGATGCATATTATATAATTGAGAATAAATGTATCACAGGCAAGTTAAATTAATTGTACAACAGTTGACAAGGGAAGACAATGATCAATTCAAATGGTTTTAAATATATAAAGTTAAAAATTGTAAACACTTTTCTTCACATTCAACCAAAAAGACAACAAGAAAGGGCATTTACAAAACAAAATGGTTAGTAATCATCTTTGTAAAGTGAAGAACGAAACAGTTCCCGTTCTGCAAGCAGTTGTTTCTTTTTGTGTGTGTGTGTGTGATAGGAAGGAAAACTTCGATACACAAAATTATTTTTGCGTACATAGAGTGTTCGATAACCTGCAAAAATAAAATATAAATATCGATAAGCTGGATAGTAGTATGTAACTAATAGTAATGCTGTAAGACAAAGAATCCCACTTTGATTGACTAGGATGTCAAAAAGAATATCTTTCATGAAAATGAGTTGAATTTGATGAGTTAAGTGTGATACGAGATAGGCGAGTCTATGAGGTTTCTGTCTCGGTGTCTACAAAAGTTAAAAATGGCATATCGAGGTGATTCGTGTGTAATTTGACTGACTGCAATGCTAAGAATAAACATATCCATGTGTGATATCGGCTCATGTAAACATGGATTATTGTCGGCTCTCTTGTTATGTAACTGCGCTTGGCCCTGTGCCGTTTCATGTTTGTTGGCTCAATATGACAACTAGTTTATGTAATCGCCTAAACAGATTCACTGTACAACCTGTGCGTAAAATTCCATGTAGAACCTAAGATTACTATTGAAATAATCTGATAAGTAGACATGGGAACTATTTGTTCCGTTGGATAAACAGACGTTGTAATACTCTTCCATATAGTCAGATGGAGTTATTTGGTTAGATCTGAATCAAAACCAAAGCAAAACAATAGTTGTAAGCTTTCTTAAAGCTTAACTAATCATAACGGTCCATAGAGTTTCTAAAATAATGAACAGTTGTTGGAGTGATATTAAATTTGAAAGAGAATAGTCCTTAAATCTGTGAATGTTGGTTGAGATGTACGGCTCTATAATTCTGTAATCTAGTGATTTTTCCTTTAGAAAACGAAGAAAGATAGAGGATGTTATAACGTCGATTTGAGTACATCAAGAGGTTTCCTGTATATTGTGAACCTCGAGTAAAAAGAAACAATGCAACTGGCCACGGGCAGTGTTTAAACTTTGACAGTCAACCACACAAATAGTAGGACAGTGAATTCAGTTGTTTTCGTTACTCGCGGATATTTATTGCTGTTTTAAGTTATTGGGAGAAGTGATGAACGCCGTAATGTCAATCATATTTGATTGTTGATTTTGAAGCATGACACAAAGGAAAGGATAGTTTTTTTTCTACACTGAGTGTCTAAAACATTCAGAAGTCAGTCAGTCAGATGCAACGTAGAACTTTGTACATAAGTACATCAGTTCATGTTGCCATACCACATCAGCACAGAGAAGTAATCGTCAATTCAAATCCAATAGTAGAAGAGGTAGTAACGGTATTAGGAGTAATCGGAGAGGTTAGGATTAGAAGATACTATTCAAGAAGTATGATCCAGTGAGAAAAGTTTAGAAAGACAAAACTAGAGGTATTGAAGAATCCAGAAGATTAGGATTTGAGAGAACACAGAGAATAAATGCACCGGCGCCATTGCGAACGATTTTGAGCCATGTCATTCAAGGTCTCTAACCATCGATTATTATTCCCGACCGTAGCTGCTACCTTGACGTGGTGGTCGGGCTTGCCTATCGTGATGACCCAACCGAGCTATACTGGCTGGAACATATGTTCCTCAAGGTTCTACCATGCCAGGCAGGTCGATTGGAGAACGATGAGACTAAAAGCAGCTACCCAAGGTCTGAGGGCGAAGTCGTACTGCTGACTGCAGAGGGGTGTGACAGCAGTAAGGTGTTTCCCTCGGACAACCAGCATCTGCAGCGATGCTGCCTTCTCACAAGGAAGGAAGGGTTAGAAAAGGTCGACCCTAAAAATGTCACATCTCACCTTACCTCACGGATATGTCTTCGGTGGTAAGGCCTTTTGAAGAGTGTAGCTAACACTTTAAAAATTTCCCAAAAAAGGTCCGTGCGCGACCGGCCTCAAGAAGTTGTCACTTGAGCTCTGCGGTAACGTTTCCAGGTCGCTCAGACCAATGTTAACCTGATTTCTTTCTCAGGCTCCTCAAGAAGCACCCTTCCACGGTATGGGCAGCAGATGTGAAGTGACATCCGCCCTCATACCCCGTAACAGTACACGAGATCAAATTGATCACAATCAAATGACATCTACATAAACTTTTTGTGATAGATGAATGAATGCAGTCTGTTATCCGATAATTTAACTGCCACTCATCTCAGAAACCTAAATTTCCTAAGCAATTGAACTTATCGGTATGAACGATAATCCTACTGTCTTAATTAACTTCTATATATAATGAGACCAGACTAGCTGATCGTCTAATCTATCTACATTAATAACATACATGAACGGTACTGTTACATCATGAAGCAGGCGTAAATAATATCATGTAGTCTAATGAAAACACATTATAAAAGGCTTCAGTATTTGGACGGATTGAGACTGATCTATAAAATTCTAGCTTTTCTGTTACACACCTGTTGCTCTTTCCCATTCAACATTGCCACAATCTACTGTGAGTAAAAGTAAGAATGGTATTATTCAATAGCTTAAACAAAACACACTATTCTCCTCCATGATCGTTTCGATTGTGATCGATATAAATATTGATTAGCAGCAAATTTATGTTGTGTGTATAATCTTATTTAAACAACTATGCGCATAAATAAACCAAAAAAACATATATATATTACAATAAATCAATAAATTAAATGATTAATTTAACAAAAGTGAGTATTTTCAAAAAAGAATGATCATCCATTGAGTAATGAAATACAAATTCGAAAGTGGGAATATGCGTTTAGGAAGACAAAAAAAACCGAAACCTAAATCAATAATTACACATTTGAAATGATCAATGAATCCATTGTTAGACCACCCTTATTAGAAACCTGGAAGCACTGAAAGACGGCTGTTTCGTTCTGGTATGGGGAACTATATGCTGATGACATAGTTCTATTCAGGGAAGACGCTGACAAAATGCAGAGTCTTCTGACTACCATAAGCAACAATGCAAGCATGTTGGGGATGCGGTTTTCCCCCTCGAAATTCAAAATGTTGCTTCAAGATTGGGTTGCATTGGTACCTGAACTAGTGATAGGGAGTGAAGTAGTCGAGCGTGTTGATCACTTCACTTATCTGGGGAGTCTCATCAGTGCTGACGGTCTGGTGACTGACGAAATCTTAGCTCGGATACAGAAAGCTCGATTGGCTTTTGCCAACCTGCGTCACTTATGGCGTAGGCGTGATATCCGTTTGCTAACCAAAGGACGGGTGTACTGCGCAGCAGTTCGCTCTGTTATCCTATATGGCTGTGAAACATGGCCGTTAAGAGTAGAAGATGTTCGTAGGTTCAATAGATGAAGTAGTGAAACTTCATCAGTTGAGGTGGTTGGGACATGTGTTACGTATGGCTAACCACCGACTGCCTCGACGAGCTATGTTTTGTAGTGTAGGAGTAGGTTGGGAGAAAGCTAGGGGCGGCCAAATCATAACATGGCAGAAATTCATGAAGTCACTGACAAGTGTACTGAGTCATGTCGGTAGATGTAGACTACCTGGTTGGGGTCCGCGAGACGAAAGTCACCGATGGTTAGAGACCTTGAACGACATGGCTTAAAACCGTTTGCAATGACGCAAGTGCATCCATTCTTTGAGCTCTCTCAAATCCTAATCTTCTGAATTCGTCAGCACCTCCTCTACCTTTGTCTTTCTAACCTTATCGCACTGAATTATTATACTTCTTGAATAATATCTTCAAAGCCTAGTCTTCTTCATTACCATTCATACCTCTACTATCTCTATCACTATGGGATTTGATTTGACATTTGCGTCTCTGTGCTAATAATGTGGTATGGCAACATGAACTTATGTACATACGTACGAAGCTCTACGTTGCAACTGACTGACTGACTGGTATGGGGAACTCATCAGCAGTGCACATTCATGACTCCTGCGCATCACGGGACTCGAACCCAGGACCTTTGATCTTGCGCACGCGAACGCCCTAACTTCTGGACCACTGAACCAGCCTCATCCACCGGTGTAAATGTTTAACTCTAATTGATGTAGATATTTTGCGCGATCTCATCCATTTGTCGCCTTTGGTAGTTACTGACTACATCTGACAGGGTTGAACATCACTGGTCACGTCTTCTCACTAGAACTCCGAGAATCTTCTCATGAAGATAGTAACTAGTGAGTACATTGATTGATTATTTCAATGTGTAAAAACATTAATCTTCATAACTTTAATTGAAAATGAGAAACCAATTAATGATAACAATTTGACTGAATTCGGTTGATTGACTTATTATTATTATTATTGGGAAATGTGTTACGTATGCCCAACCACCAACTGCCTCGTCGAGCTATGTTTCGTAGTGTCGGAATAGGTTGGAAGAAACCTGGGGGCAGTGAAGCTAAAACATGGCACAAGTCCATGAAGTTACTGACAAGTGGACTGAGTCATGTCGGTAGTTGTCGGCTACCTGGTTAAGGTCCGCGAGATGATAATAATCGATGGTTAGAGACCTTGAATGACATGGCTCAAAATTGTTTGCAATGGCGCCAGTGCATGCATTCTTTGTGTCCTCTCAAATCCTTATCTTCTGGGTTCTTCAACACCCCTAGTTTTGTCTTTCTAAACTTATTTCACTAAATTATACTTCTTGAATAATATCTTCAAACCCTAACCTTCTCTATTACCAGTAGTACTCCTATTATCTCTACCACTATTGGATTTGGATTGACAGCTGCGTCTGTGCTAATTCGGTGGTTTGGCAACATGAACTGATGTAGTTAAGTACGAAGTTCTACGTTTTCATCTGACTGACTGATTATTATTAAGTGTACTTATCGAAGTAGGAGGTAGTTAAGATACATATACAATACGTAACACATGTTTCTAGCAATTCCGCTGATGAAGATTCACTACTTCATTCATCGATTTGTCGTTATGACTTAGTACTTTATTTCTAGGTCATGTAGTGCTCACTTGATAGTCTCAGAATATATATACGAGCAATGCTTTGAAGATACTCACGATAGAATAATACTAGTTAGTAACTAGCGTAATATCATCTATTCTTATTAGCTGTAAACTGCTGCGCAGTAACCACTGCCCTTTTATTGGTAGAAGGATACTTCATTTATGCTACAATACACATGTACTTGGCTCTGACGGCACGCTTCAAGTACGTAGGGTAGTAATATTACCTAATTGTTCCCATATATATATATATATATATATATATATATATATATATATATATATATTTACTGTGGGAGAGAATAAACCAGATCCCAGTGGAGGATGAAATCAGGAAGAAGCGGTGAAAGTGGTTAGGACACATACTGAGGAAGGCACCCAACTGCTCCCCATAGGGAAAGCCCTCACTTGGGACCCTCAAGGTCAAAGTAAAAGAGGAAAGCCGGGAAATGGATACAGACATGAGAAAAATTGGACAGAACTATAAAGGGAAGACCAGGACAGAGTAGGTTGGAGAATACTGGTCAGCGGTCTATGCTCCGTTTGGGGGTAACAAGCGTAAGTATGTAGGTATTATATACATATGAATATAATATTCTTGGTGGTCCCCGTTCGGGCACTTATGAATCAACAAGATCCCTCTAACCAATCCACTACCCACAATTCCCAATCGGCAAAGGCGGGCTTTCCCAGCTAGATCTGGCGCCTCGAACGGATTACCGAGCCACCTAGCAGTGCACTAACCAGCACAGTCATTCCAACCATCTGGCCTCCAACTGCCTTGCGCTGACACAATCAACCGGAGCCCTTCAGACCCCTACATGAAGCTAAAAATCAAGTTTGTCACACAAGCTCAACCGGAATGTACACCCTCCTCCCACAATGGGGATATAAATTTCACATAAATTTATTTGATTTAAATCAACATTTCTTACCAATCCATAGCTTCTTCTAATCCTTCACCTTTTAATGCAGATGTTTTAAACAATTGATAACGTCGATTTTTAATTGATGCTAAACCAAGTGATTGTGCTATTTCCCCGATAGTCATACAACCAGATATATCTTGTTTATTGGCTAAAATAACTAGAACAGCACCACGTAATTCTTCTTCCTGTAAATTTTTTTACAAAAAAAAAGAACACACAACAAGAAACAAATTGCCGACATAAATTACGTAACAACACATTGATAGATTTGTTCCATTCGAGGTCTAAAACACTACTGCCTTCTTATTCAATTAGTATTGAGTATAGAGGTGTGTTAGCGGGACGCAGATTTGATTAAAGCATGTTTCATACATGATTGGTTTGCTGCAAGCTGATTGGCTGTTTTGTATCGAATCAGCGCTAGTCGATACTGGGGGAAAACAGTCTAGAATCTTTTCGTATAAAAACTATAAGTATACTAATATTTTAGACTTCCATCTAACCTTGTTATTTAGAGTAAAATCGCTCTCTTTGTTCAACCGTGTTCTGATTTTGGAGAGAACGTCTCGAATGAATTGATGTCCGAGAATACTAAAGCATTCGAAATAGCTGGGTTGTAGCGTAATAAGAGAGAATGAAAACAAGAGGTGTGGTGGTGTTTTGTTCTCTGAGCTGGTTGTTTTGGTTGTGGAGAACACCGGTGAAAGCAACCGTATTGTATTTAACGAAAATTACAGAGTTACTCAGTAAAATAGGAAAACCATATCGTAAATCGTTAATTTGCAAAATATCAGTTCATCATATATCGAACTGGACTGTTCCTGTTGCAAAACATCATCAATCCATTGTCACTATTCATGCGTTTCATACAAATTCCATTGTGTTCCTCTAACTCTTCCTTTCTTGATCTTCCCCCATCTTCTGCTGCCAGACATTACGTTGACGCTCACGTCATATACTACTTATAAGTAGCTCGCACCACACTCTTCCCCCCTTTTAATAAGCTATCGTCGTAGTCTTTCTGATCGCCGTACCGCTGTCTTCTTTGATGCTTTTCGTGACTCATACACTGGATAATCTTGAAACCATCTCTGCAGTTGACTAGCATTTACGCGCTTCTGCTTGTCTTCTCTCCGGATCGTGTACACCGCGCCGCGTCTCTCTGTGATAACGTACGGTCCGTCCCAGTTTGGGATCAGCTTTCTGTTGCCGGATGAGTTCTAATGGGTCTCCATCTAAACTACTCAACGCGTATACTGTCACTGGAAGGTCATCTTCCATGTCTGATCTTGGCAAGCTGGGTTGTAGTGTAATAAGAGAGAATGAAAACAAGAGACATCTCGAAAATATCGACACAAGTGAAGTGAAGTGATATGTGTCAAGTGTTGATTGGATAATTGCCTCCTACATTGCTACATTTATAATGTCTTACACCAAAAGTTTCTGGGAAGATCAAGGACAGATGAAGTTATAAATACACTTGATTTTTTGTAATATGAGTAATCTTGAGAAAGAGATCTTATTCATATATTTCGCGCCTTTTTCTTGTTGTTTGAATGAACATAGTTTGGAGTTATAATATAGAAACAGTTAGGAATTTAGTGACAAGTATTGAAGTAGCAAACTTATCAACATTCCCAAAGATTATCCAGACAAAATACACAAACTTCTCCTATAATTTCCATAAATTTCATTCTAGCTAATCTGTTTTGGAATATTATTTATTTTCAACTCATTCAATTCTGATACTCATTTTGTGTTAATCCAAGTCAGTCAACAGTCAGTTAGTTACAACGTAGAGCATCGTACGTACGAACGTACATTAGTTCAAGTTGCCATATCATATTAGCATTGAGACGAAGTTGTCACTTCGAATCCCATAGTAGGAGTAGTAGAGGTATTAGTGATAATCAAAAGAATAACAGATCGACGATATCATTGAAGAAGTATAATTCAGTGAAGTAAATCTAGAAAGAGAAAGATAAATGTGATGAGGAGTTTGAGAGACTACTATATGGATGCGAAGCATGGCCGAAAAGAGTTGAGGATATTCGTATGTTATTAGTGTTCGATTATAGATGTTTTCAAAGCATTACTCGTGTGTCATGGGACAATGCTGCCGTTAGAAAACGAGTACTAGTTAGGGATGGCAAATCAATAGACAAAGTGCTGAAACTTTATCAGTTTAGATGGTTGGGACATGTGTTACGTATGCACAACCACCGTCTGCCTCGTCCAATTATGTTTTGTAGTGTCGGAATAGGTTGGAAGGAAGCTGCGGGCAGTCAAGCCAAAACATGGCACAAGTCCATGAAGTTACTGACAAATGCATTGAGTCATGTTGGTAGATGTAGACTACCTGATTGGAGTCCGCGAGACGAAAGTCACCGATGGCTCACCGACATGGCTCAAAATCGTTTGCAATGGCGCAGGTGCATTTATTCTTTGTGTTCTCTCAAATCCTAATCTTCCGGATTCGTCAGCACCTCCTCTACCTTTGTCTTTCTAACCTTATCTCACTGAATTATACCTCTTGAATAATATCTTCAACCCCTAGTCTTCCTTATTACCATTAATACCTCTACTATTTTTATCACTATGGGATTTGATTTGACATTTGCGTCTCTGTGCTATGTACATACGTACGAAGTTCTACATTGCAACTGACTGACTGACCAATAGTTTGTAAACAGCCATAGCCAATACTACACTGCACAAATCATACACATGCATGAATGATTTGTAATACACACAGTAATACTTGATAAGATCATCATATGACATCATAAATAAATAATTTTTAAAAAATTACCAATATACATGAATAAGACAAAAAAAGTACACATTTTTGAAACCATGAATCGATCAATGTTGGACCACCATTAGAAACCTGGAAGCATTGGACGGCCGTCTCGTCCTGGTATGGGACTCACCAGTGGCAGTGCGCATCCACGACTCCTGCACCTCGCAGGATTAGAACCCAGGACCTTCGGTATTGTAGGCGAACGCCTAACCATCGGACCACTGAGCCTCTAAACTCGAACAGGTTGAACTTCACTGGTCACGTCTTCCCTATAGAACTCGGAGAATATTTCTCACGAAGCTAGTGAGCACAGGTAATTTGTATTACAGGGTTGTGAAGATTGTTAAGTTACACATTTTTGAAACCATGAATCGATCAATGTTGGACCACCATTAGAAACCTGGAAGAACATTAATACCGTTAGATGCCGGCCCAGTGGTCCGATGGTTAGGCGTTCGCCTACAATACCGAAGGGCCTGGGTTCGAATCATGGGTGCGCACTGCTCAGGAGTCCCATATCAGGACGAAACGGCCGTCTTCCAGTGCTTCCAGGTTTCTAATGAGGGTGGTCTAACATTGATCGATTCATGGTTTCAAAAATGTGTGTCGCGTAAGGACAGACATAATAAGTAAATAATGGACTTGTTAACACCAAAAAAAATTCACAAACAGTAAATCGTATGATAATAATAGTGTGTACAAGGTCAATGAAATGCCCTTGATCAACAGAAAAAATACACATATAAATTTGATAATCATCTAGTTACTTCATTATTTTAGAATATAATAGTAATAGTAATAGTAATCAACAAATTAATCTTTTCATTTCTACTTTATGATGATATCTCACAAAACAAAATTCAACAATCTCAAGTCAAAAAAGACAGTTTTTTTTCTGGTCATTCTTATTAAGTATGACCTTTTTTATGATTGATTTACAAATGACATAATTTTCTTTTTTGGTAGACTGAGTGAGTGAAAATATCAATCAACATGCAATATATCTACACTATTTACAATGTTGACTAAACACACACACAAAGGATACAGTCACTTATTATCCCCGCATAACCTAAACCTACCCCAGCCCCATTTCTCCGGGCTAGCGATCGGGAGTAACCCTAAAAAGGGTTACACACGAAGAAGTTGCTAACATTTGACTTTACTTACGCCTGTTACCCCCAACGGAGCATAGGCCGCACACCAGTTTTCTCCAACCAAATCTGTCCTGTGGACTTCCCTTTCCAGTTCTGTCCAATGTTTGTTCATTCTTCTCATGTCTTTTTCTATTTCTCGGCGTTATGTGTTCCTTAGCCTTCCTCTTTTCCTTCTGCCTTGAGGGTTCCGTGTGAGGGCTTGTCTCGTGATGCAGTTAGGTGCTTTTCGTAGTGTGTGTCCTATCCACCAACTCCACCGCTTCTTCCTGATTTCCTCCTCCATTGGAATCTGGTTTGTTCTCTCCCACAGTACGTTGTTGCTGATGGTGTCTGGCCAACGAATACGAAGTATTTTGTTTAGGCAACTGTTAATAAACACTTGTATCTTCTGGATGATGGCTTTGGTAGTTCTCCAAGTTACCGCTCCATACAGTAGAACTGTCTTGACATTTGTATTGAAAATCATGATTTTGATTTTGGTTAAAAGTTGTTTAGAGTTCCAGATATTTTTCAACTGTAGAAATGCAGCCCTTGCTTTGCCAATCCGTGCCCTCACATCTGCATCGGATCCACCTTGATTGTCGATGATGCTGCCCAGATATGTAAAGGTGTTAACGTCCTCCAAGGCATCTCCATCAAGAGTGATTTGGTTGGTGCATGTTGTGTTGCATCGGAGAATTCTGCTTTTTCCTTTATGTATGTTGAGACCTACTGCTGCAGAGGCTGCTGCTACACTGGTCGTTTTCTCTTGCATTTATTGTTGCTTGTGCCATAGAAGAGCCAGGTCATCTGCGAAGTCCAGATCGTCCTGCTGCGTCCTAGCTGTCCAGTTGATACCGTGCTTCCCTACAGACGTCGACGTCTTCATAATCCAGTCGATCACCAGGAGAAAGAGGAAGGGTGAGAGTAAGCAACCTTGTCTGACATTTGAGGACAAGCACAAAATATAGTGGACAGGTGGATGACTTAAACTTTGCAGATGATCTAGCTGTTATATCCTAAACGTAACAACAGATGCAGGAGAAGACGATTAGCATAGCAGCAGCAGCCTCAGAAGCAGTACGTCTCAACATACATAAATGGAAAAAACCAAGATCCCTGAATACAACACAACATGCACCGACCGATCAAATCATACTTGACAAAGAAATTTTGGAAGCTGTGGCAAACTCTACATATCTAGACAGCATTATCAATGAGCAAGGTGGATTTGGTGAAGATGTGAAGGCGCGGATCGGTAAAGCAAAGGACAATATCTTTTCAATTGAAAAATATCTGGAACTCAAACAAAAACTATCAACAAAACACCAAAATCAAAATTTTCAATACAATTGTCAAGACAGTTCTACTGTATGACGCGAAAACTTGAAGAAACCACGAAAGCTATTATCCATAAAATATAGTTGCTTATCAACAGTTGTCTACGCAAAATACCTCGAGTCCGCTGACCAGACACTATCAGCAACAACCTACTGTGGTAGAGAACAATTCAGATTGCAGCTGAAGAAGAAATCAAGAAGATGCGTTGGGAGTGAATAAGTTACATATTAAAGAAAGCACCCGAATGCGCTGCAGGACAAGCCCCGACTTGAAATCCTCAAGACCAAAGAATACATTACACCGAGTAGTGGAGACAGACAAGCAAAGAATGAATAGCAATTCGATAGAATTGGAAAGGGAGGCCCAGGAAAATGCTGATCGGTGGCCTCTATAGCCAGCCCATTGACAGCAACATGCTTAACTAATGAAACAAATAAGACTGTTTACACAAACACATAAGACATGAGGATAAAGAAGTGGAAGAGTAATGAGAAGCAGAGAAGGTGAACGGGTCAATTTCATTTGATAAGACATAGCTAACTATGAATGAGTAGAGAAGTACAGATTAATTGGGTTTGTCCAAAAGCTAGAAATAAGTGTAATGGTTGACACTATGCTACATACTTTAATATTCTATTTAATAGAACAGTGTATGTATGTTAACAATCGAAATGAAAAAGTATTGTCTACATAAATACTTTTCTATTTACTATAAGAAATTCTCATACATTCATTCTATGAATAGTACAGATATAGGACTTACAAGCAAGTTAAACGTTTTCTGAGATTAAGCACAAGTAAGATTATAGATTAAGATATCAATTAAAAATAAAACCAGAGATTCTTTGCCATGAAAAATTACTGATTATATTCATGGGGTCGGCGAGACGAAAGTCACCGTTCGTTAGAGACCTTGGCTCAGAATCATTTGCAATGGCACAGGTGCATCCACTCTTTGTGTTCTGCCAAATTCTAATCTTCTGAATTCCTCATCATCTCTATCTTTCTGTTTCTAAATTTATATCACTGAATTCTATACTTCTTGAATCATATCTTCGCTCCCTAATCTTCTCTATTACTGCTAATACTTCTACTATCGCTATCACTGACAACTGCGTCTCTGTGCTATATAATGTGGTATGGCAACCTGAACTGATGTACACAGACGCACGAAGTTCTGCGTTGTATCTATCTGTCAGGCTGTATTCATATTAATGATGTAAATTGGAAGAATTTAGGCATTGGCTAATTGAAAAAGAGAAAAGTCGACCATACGATCAAGTAAAAAATTCATAATGATCTTTTGATGAGTTTTAAATAATTTACTTTGTAAAAATAGATATATTTACTTAAGAAAACATAAATATCAGTACAAATAAATACTGAAATATTTATTTATAACATAAAATCAATGAATTTACATGTAGTGGTTAGTGAAAAACACTGTCGTGATGCCAAATTTGAAAATGATTTTCCTTTAGGGAGCTGTCACTCTCTTTAAGCTTTTATTAAACTACGTTGGGAAATGTCATCTCATTGTTGCCGGTTACCAACAATATGTTTTATACACCATTTACTGCTTTTATGATCCTGGATTCTATGTGCACAATTGGTTTTGAGTTAGCGTTTCCTAACTTTCCTAACTAGATAGATCCTCCACTATTCATCAACCTGATTTTTAAGGCTCCGACAAAACATTGGTTTTTCATTTGCCTATGCTACATACACATGTGGCTGCTGCCCTATGAGAGCATTTCGTTAAGGGGAATTTGATTCTTCAAACTCTTTCGATCATTACCAGGGTATTTGGGGGTGGGTGAGTTGTTTTTTTCTTAAATCTCTAATGATATGTAGCTCCCAGATAGAAAATCACTGGAAAAACTGATTGCACCAAATACATTTTATCTAACAGTACAAAGTTTTATGATGGTAGAGAAAATTTATAGCTCAGGTGGATGATTGTGGTGGAGGTGTTTGGTTCACTGAACTGGCTCGATGTTTTGGTTGTGTGGAGCTTTCATCATTGTTCTTCTTTTGAACAACGAAATCATCAGCACAAACTTTAGATAGGAGAAGTGAAGTATCCCACACAACCAAAACATCCAGCTCAGAGAACCAAACAACACTACACTGCAGTACAAAGTAAACAACACAGGAAGGAGCGTGTGTGTGTGTGTTGATGCCATTCGTTTACTTTACAATTAACTCATTAAAGGGGATAATAAAAATGTATTGATTACTGTAAATAAAAATCAATAATCTGACTAAAATCAATGAATAAAGTAAAATAAGGAAAAAAATAACAGTAGGAAATAAAATGCAAAACTACAAGAGAGAAAAAGTTGAATAAAACGAGTGACAATGAGAAGTAGTCATTAAAAAAACATACACCGTCGAAGGGTACTTCTTGAGGAACCTGAAAAGGAAGGTAGATTAGTATTGGTCTTAGAGACTTGGGAACGTGATCTCAGATCCCAAGGGACAACTGCATGAGGCCTATCGATGCTGCCTTCTCACAAGGAAGGAAGGTTTAAAAAAGGTTGACCCTAAAAATGTCACACCTCACCTTACCTCACGGATTTCCGTCTCTGGCGGTAAGGATGCCCACTAAGGGCTTTTAAAAAGAGCGGAGCTAATACTAAAAAAAAGCCTTTCATAAAAAGTCCGTGCGTGACCGGCCTCAAACAGTTGTCCCTTGGGCTCTGCTGTCACGCACCCAAGTCTCTAAGACCAACACTAATCTGCCTTCCTTTTCGGGTCCTTCAAGAAACAACCTACCACGATGTGGGCAGCCGGGAAGTGACAACCGCCCTTATACCCGTACCAGCAATAAACTTTCTTACACATAACATGATGAATTATTCAATTAAAATGTAAGTGTTCAAAAAGTTTAAGAAAATAATAATAATAATTACCTCAAGCATAGAGAATAATTCTTGTTTTGATATTCCAACTCGATCTTTATCCATACTATCGACTACATAAATAATTGCATCGGTATTCGCATAATAACATCGCCAATATGGTCGAATACTAGTTTGTCCACCTAAATCCCATACTTGAAATTTAAGATTTTTATGTACAACTGTTTCTACATTGAATCCAATAGCTAAGATTTTGAAGCGAAAAGATAAACAAACGAATATGTATGTATATGATGTATGCATCGTTATGATGTCACAAAGAAAATAGTTGTGTTATTGGAAGGCTCGATTAGCTTTTGCCAACCTGCGTCACTTATGGCGTAGGCGAGATATCCGTTTGCTGAATAAAGGACGAGTGTACTGCGCAGAAGTTCACTCCGTCCTACTATATGGTTGTGAAACATGGCCAGTCAGAGTAGAAGATATTCGTAGGTTACTGGTTTTCGATCATAAGTGTCTTCGAAGCATTGCTCGTATAACCTGGGACACCCGAGTAAGCAACGCTGTTATTAGGAAACGGGTGCTAGGTAAAAATGGCAGATCAATAGATCTTCATCAGTTGAGGTGGTTGGGACATGTGTTACGAGTGCCTAACCACCGACTACCTCGACGAGCTATGTTTTATGGTGTAGGAGTAGGTTGGAAGAAAGTTGGGGGTGGCGGCGGAACCAAAACATGTCAGAAATCCATGAAGTCACTGACTAGTGGACTGAGTCATGTTGGTAGATGTAGACTGCCTGGTTGGGGCCCGCGAGACGAAAGTAATCGATGGTTAAAGACCCTGAATGACATGACTCAAAACCGTTTGCAATGGCGTAGGTACATCCACTCTTTAGCTTCTTGTAAATCCTAATCTTCTGAATTCGTCAGCACCTCTACATTTTGTCTTCTAACCTTATTTCACTTAATTATACTCCTTGAATAATATCTTCAAACCCTAGTCTTCTTCATTACCATTAATAACTCTACTATCTTTATCACTATGGGATTTGATTTGACATTTGCATCTCTGTGCTAATGTGGTATGGCAACCTGAACTTATGTACATACGTACGAAGTTCTACGTTGCAACTGACTGACCGACAATGATGGTGAGTTACGTATATTTTAAACTTATTCATACAAAATAACAAATAATGAAGTGTTATTGATAAAGAATTTGTCGAAAATATAATAACTTACTTGGTATGGTTGTTACCACTTCACCAACTTGTAACCTATATAGTATGGTTGTTTTACCGGCTCCATCTAAGCCTAAGATGAGAATTCTACGTTCTTTATTTCCAAACAGTCGAGAAAACAAACTGAATATACCACCTAGAATCATAAAGACTGCGATTACAAGAATATTTACCCATTATATAACTGCTTTGCAATTCGGAAAAATGTTTGTTTATTCGGAACTTTGGTTTGATGAAATGGAACCGTCTGGTCCCCCTATAAGTTACGGTGAATGCTAAAATAAAGCGAAAATATAAACTGAGAGAATGATCAATTGAATTTTTTTTAACAGATACCATTATATGCAAAAAAGATCGCTTCACTTATTATTCAGAAAAAAACCCACTTTACATGCTTGAGATAGAAAAAGTTAGCCATCACTGTACAATCTTTTCAGTCAGTCAGATGCAACGTAGAACTTTGTACACGAGTACATCAGTTCATGTTGCCATTACACATCAGCACAGAGAAGTAATTGTCAATTCAAATCCAATAGTAGAAGAGGTAGTAAAGGTATTAGAAGTAATCGGAGAGGTTAGGATTAGAAGATATTATTCATGAAGTATGATTAAATGAGAAAAGTTTAGAAAGTCAAAACTACAGGGGTTGAAGAATCCAGAAGATTAGGATTTGAGAGAACACAAAGAGTAAATGCACCGGCGCCATTGCAAACGATTTTGAGCCATGTCATTCAAGGTCTCTAACCATCGATAATTATCATCTCGCGGACCCCAACCAGGTAGTCGACAATTACCGACATGACTTAGTCCACTTGTTAATGACTTCATGGATTTTTGCCATGTTTTGATTTGGCACAATCTTTTCTGTTGTCACTGATACTGTTACTACTTCCACTGTCTTAGTACATGCCTTGATAATAAAAGTTTACTGTGCTTAAACAGTTTGGAAGCCTGGAAAGATGTAAATATATATGCAAGACTGTATTCTCTGACTGAATGATCACTACAATTGTTACCAGTATATCAAGCTCATTTAAATGACCACTAATACTAATAAAGATAAATTCACAGATTGTACATGTTAAATATGTACACTTTGGTGTAGTAATTTCCAAGTAGATCTGTATATGAAACATTTTTTTCAAAATTCCTTTGTGTTAAGGTATAATAAGTAAGCTAACAGTATAATTTATGGTGGAGAAGCATTTGTAGCGCAGGTGATGATTGTGGTGGTGTTTGGTTCTCTGAGCTGGATGTTTTGGTTACGGAGCTTTCATTGTTTTTCTGAACAACGAAATCATTAGCACAAACTTTAGACTTCTATCTGAAGGACAATGAAAGCTCTGCAACCAAAACATCCAGCTCAGAGAACCAAACACCACCACAGTATAATTTATATTGATATTTTATTATCCGTACGAAACATATGTTACAAAACTTGGCACTATTACAAAGAAACATTCAAAGAGGAAAGACTTTAGAACATACGATAAATTAAGAAAAAAACTGAGGTCAAGCTTGATTTTGTAGGTTTTTATGAAAGAGGTAAAGAGACTACAGGGTCATTGAAGTGATTTGACGATTTCATTATGAAAACTATCTTCAATGTGGATAGACAACACTAAACCTAGAATAACAATATGATTTTTCTAAACAAATGAGATTATTTCTGTATGAAAGGATGCATGCTAGGTTGTAGAAGTGTAAAAAAACTAGAGGAGTCAATAATTTTGTAAATGACTATTTTGAAATGCCCAAAAACTACTATGTCTTCAAATCAATCAGTTGCAACACAGAACTTGGTACATACGTGCACCAGTTCAAGTCACCGTACACGACTGGCACACAGAGATGAAATTGTCAAGGCAGATCCCTAAGGAAATGCTATGTAAAAGCTGATGTTGAAGTAAAACAACTCACAAAATTCACTAGTTACACTCCTTAATGCAAATTCTACTTATTGCCTTCATTTCCATGACAGAACTGCCAAATAGGAATTCAGGTTGTTTTTCGATTTGTTAAAGCAAGCATCCTGCCGCTATCTCTACCATGTAAGTTTTTCATAAACAAACCTTTCACATTCATGCAAAATTTCGCAAAGCAAACCAACTTTAGGTCCTCGAAGGAATTAATCGGCACAAGTCCACTGGACGCTTATGATCAAATTGTTTACTATCAAAACAATAACACGGTTTTGAAATGGTTGGGTGGAATACTTCTTAGAAAGTGTTACAACTTATTTCTCCTATTTTGGTCGTTTGGTTAAGCTTGATGAATCCTGCTGAAACGTAATAAAACTGTGCATACGATCGAAACTGTAGTCTACCTTTCTGACGTAAAATTTGAAGGCTTTAGTAGCACATATAATGAGATTACCAAAATAGGGTTAGTAATATCTTGATCAAGAAATTTTCTGTAGTATCAAAAGGAGAATAAAAAAGAGAAGTTCGTTTCTCAAGTATAAGCTTGAGAAAAAGGTGTGTTGATAGTTACGATTTCGAATTTATAGTTAATTATACTATGCATGGATAAAATACTACGCTCAGAATGATGTTCGGAAGAATGAACAATGAGCTTTATGATGCTAAAGCAGGAACCTTAATTACTTGTTTGAGCAGCTGTAAGATGGTGAAGTGAAAATTAAACAAACCAAAATAAAAGCCTTCGTAACCCACTGTTTAAAATCGACCGGTCTCCAATATCCAATAACAAATGATACGCTCCTGGTGGGGGATGTTCACACCCATACAACAATGGGAAGTAGTGACCATGGCACAGTCTTATTTAACATGGTCATAAACGAAATGCACACAGGACGAAAATGATCCCTATCTTTGCTATAATAAGGCAAATTATACGTGATCTTCCTGTATGCCCCATGACCACGGGACTGGTGGAGGCCGACAGTATATGATCGCTGGCAAACGGTGAGAGAGATCATCCAGAATGCTGTAGTTAGCAATGTATTTCAGTCACACCAAACACCCAGGAATAGAAGAACATGGGTTAGGCGCTGCATTGATCGCATGCTACAGGCGAAGAGGAGAGCCTGGCACAAGTGGAATGTCTCCTTGAAGGATTCCGGTCGTAGTCCTTACTTGGCATTGATAAACAGATGAAATACCAAAGTTCGAAGTGATAGGAAACACTTTCAGATTAAGCTAGCTGCCAAAATACGGCACAATCTAAGCATCTGTTTAGGTTCACGACTGAGAGAAAACCTACGAATCATGGTTAAGGTTCTCTAAAGTTTCGAATGGGGAAGACCTTGTAGTGCCTCCCCATATATTCGAGTGTGCTTACGTCTAACTTGGTTAAGCCCTTTCTATTAATTTATTTAGCCAAGCCATTTTTATTGCAATAATTTATATGTACCATACGTTCTTATTATCGTCTGGTTTGTATGAGCTCACACGACGTGTCCCACTTGTCATTTGACCTTATCAACTATTCGTCGCTTTTATTTATGTGTGCCTATTTCGCTTGTCGCATGTCTGTCTTATATTTGTCTGACTATATATTCTTTATCAGGCTCTATCTCTTCGAGTTGGCTCATTAGCCTTCTCCAACTAGCTTCGCCTGTTGATTCGCTTCCTTCGCCCATTCGTTCTCACTGTAATCCTGGGAGTTGGTTCAACATCCTTCTCCACTTCACGTCTTTTCATTCGATGTATTCACTGCTTCTCCGTTTCGGTTTGTGGTGTGTCCTAAATAAACGTATCATCACTACGAGTTCACTTTCTTATTTACAACCATCAGACGTTATTTAGTAACGATTGCCTATACGACCTAACTACCGAGCTTGAGAACACGCAGTAAATCGGCACACTACAAAACCTCATCAACCTAGAGATGACTGAGATTTTCAACACAAACTTTACTGAGCAATTAAACCAGGTATCCATGCGTTCAGAATTCTACGCCATTCGAGTGCGAGCTGATGGCTCAGGGATTATCCAAATTACTCCCGACTTAGTAATAAGGAAACTAAAATCGTTACGCCCAGGATGGTCATCGGGTTGTCGCAGTATTCTCCCCGTAGTCTTGGAACAGTATGCAGAAGTCCTCTTTTCACAGATATGTGACTTGTTCCGGCATTCATTGGAGTTACATCAACTCCCAGTTGATTGGAAACAAAATTCTCTATCTCAATTCTTCGAAGGAGGAGATGGAAACTTACTTACTTACTTACTTACTCCTGTTACCCCCAATGGAGCATAGGCCGCCCACCAGTTTTCTCCAGCCAACTCTGTCCTGGGCTTCCTTCTCTAGTTCTGTCCAATTCATGTTCATTCTTCTCATATCTTTCTCTATTTCTCGGCGTAATGTGTTCCTCAGCCTTCCTCTTTCCCTTTTGCCTTGAGGGTTCCATGTGACGGCTTGTCTCGTGACGCAGTTAGGTGCTTTTCTCACTGTGTGTGTCCTATCCACTCCCAACAATTCTTCCTGATTTCCTCATCCACTGGAATCTGGTTTGTTCTCTTCCACAGTACGTTGTTGCTGATGGTGTCTGGCCAACGAATACGAAGTATTTTGCGTAGTCAACTGTTAATAAACATTGTATCTTCTGAATGAAGCCTTTCGTAGTTCTCCAGGTTTCTGCTTCATACAGTAGAACACTGTCTTGACATTTGTATTGAAAATCCTGATTTTGGTTTTGGTTGAAATTTATTTGGAGTTCCAGATATTTTTCAATTGTAAGAATGCAGCCCTTGCTTTGCCAATCCACGCCCTCACATCTGCATCGGATCCACCTTGATTTTCGATGATGCTGCCAAGATATGTATAGATGTTAACGTCTTCCAAGGCATCTCCACCAAGAGTGATTTGGTTGGTGCATGTTGCGTTGCATCGGAGAATTTCGCTTTTTCCTTTATGTATGTTGATACCTACTGCTGCAGAGGTTGCTGCTACACTTGTCGTCTTCTCTTGCATTTGTTGTTGCGTGTGCGATAGAAGAGCCAGGTTGTCTGCGAAGTCCAGATCGTCCAGCTGCGTCCTAGATGTCCAGTTGATACCGTGCTTCCCTCCAGATGTCGACGTCTTCATAATGCAGTCGATGATCAGGAGAAAGAGAAAGGGTGGGAGTAAGCAACCTTGCCTGACACCGGTCTTCACCTCAAAGGAGTCTGTTAGCTGTCCTTCGTGTACTATTTTGCAGTTGAATCCATCATAAGAATTCCGTATGATGTTAACTATTTTCTCAGGCACACCGTAGTGTCGAAGAAGCCTCCACAGTGTTTTCCTATCCACGCTGTCGAATGCTTTCTCGTAGTCGATGAAGTTGATGTAGAGTGGTGAGTTCCATTCAATTGATTGTTCCACAATGATTCGTAATGTTGCATGTGATTTGGTCAGTACCCGATCGATCCTTACGAAATCCGGCCAGTTGATCTCGAAGTTGGGCGTCTACGAAGTCCTTCATTCTGTTTAACAATACCCTGTTGAAGACTTTGCCTGGTATTGAAAGAAGAGTGATGCCTCTGTAGTTCTCACACTTGCTGAGATCGCCTTTCTTTGGTATTTTGATGAGGTATCCTTCTTAGCAATCTGATGGTACTTGTTCCTCATCCCAAATCTTCTTGAAGAGGATGTGAAATATTTTCGCAGTTGCTTCTACATCTGCTTTCATTGCCTCTGTTGGAATGTTGTCTGGTCCTGCTGCTTTGCCGTTCTTGATTTGTCTGATGGCCATACTGATCTACTCAATCGTAAGTGCGCCAATATTAATTGGGAGATCCATGGATTCTACTTCAATGTTGGGTGTGTTCAGTGGATCTGGTCGATTCAATAGTTCCTTAAAGTGTTCTACCCACCTATTTCGCTGTTCTTCAGTGTTGCTGATTACTTTGCCTTCCTTACTTTTCACTGATCGTTCTGGTTTACGATAGTTTCCGGCCAGTTTCTTTGTTGTTTCGTACAATTGTCTCAAGTTTCCGTCTCTTGCAGCCTTTTCCGCCGTCATTGCTAGATCCTCTACATATTTTCGTTTGTCAGCTTTGATGCTCTTCTTCACTTCCCTGTTTGCTTCTGTGTATCCAGCTTGTGCGGTAACTTTCTCCGCTCTTGTTCGGCTGACATTGATTGCTGCCCTCTCGTTCCTCCTTTCTTCAATTTTTGCTAGAGTATCAACAGAGATCCATTCCTTGTGATGGTACTTCTTGTGACCCAGAACTTCGTCACATGGCGAAGTGATTGCCTGCTTGATCCCTTTCCAATTGTTCTCCAATGTTGCGTCCTCTGCATTGTGTAGATCGTGAAAGGCCTGGAACCTATTGTTGAGGGCTATCCTGAATTCATTGAGCTTTACAGTATCCCGAAGAAAGGCCGTATTAAACTTGTGCGATGTTGTCTGCCCCGTTGTCCAGTGCTTCTTGAGTTTCAGTTTCATAAGCAAATGGTGATCTGAGGCTATATCAGCTCCTCTCCTGGTTCTCACATCCTCCATAGTCGTTCTGAAAGTTTTGTTGATATAGATATGATCAATCTGGTTTTGAGTAGTGTGATCCGGTGAAATCCATATGGCTTTGTGTATGCGTTTGTGCGGGAATATTGAGCCACCGATGACCAGTTTGTTCAAGGCACATAAGTTTGCAAATCTCTCACCATTTTGTTTCTTTCTCCCTGTCCATGTCGTCCCATGATGTCTTCATATCCATTGTTGTCCATTCCAACCTTGACATTCAGGTCTCCCATAAGAATCGGCAAATCCGTTGGTGAACATTTTTCGACGATTGCCTGCAGCCTTTCGTAGAATTGATCTTTAACGTCGTCATTGTAGTCATTGGTAGGTGCATAACATTGGATGACGTTCATTGTAATGTCCTGTTTCTTTGTTTTGAAGGATGCTTTAATGATCCTGGGTCCATGAGATTCCCATCCTATTAGTGCTTTTTGTGCATGTTTGGACAGCATCAGTGCAACTCCTTGTGTATGTGAAGCATTTTCTTCTTCATGACCAGAGTATAACAGCAGTTCCCCTGAAGCTAGTCTCAGTTGTCCTACTTGTGTCTAATGTGTTTCACTGATGCCGAGCATATCGATGTTGTATCTTTTCATTTCTGCCGCAACTTGAAATAGTCTTCCAGTCTCCCACAATGTTG